TCCCTTTGCCACCCCCCCCCCAGTATCTCTGCCCTGTCGCACCCTCCCGCCGGCCCCAGCCGTGCCTGAAGATGGTGCTGTTACCCTGTCCCCAGCTCCCGGCAGGGACAGAGGGACGGCCCGGGGCATCCAGCCCCTTCTGGGGGTCCTGGCTCCCCACCTACCCCCGGGGGTCTCCGGCCTGACCGGGGGCAGCAGCTGTGGCACCGCTGCCGGGCTCAACGGGTCTGGGACCGGGGTCACCCGGGGCTCTCTGCCCACCCGGGGGTCCCTGGGTCTCCCTGCATCCCACAGCATCCCCAGAGCAGCTCTGGGGCTGGGTGGTAGCCAACTGGTGGGCTGCCGAGGACTGGGTGACCCAGAGCCAGCAGGGACCGCAGCGGGGGGCTCATCTGAGTGCCCCCCTCCCGCCGTGATGCCTCACCCACGTCCTCGGTCATTCTGTGTCTTTTGCCTCCGTGCAGAGCCTCTGCCTCGCCAGGGACACCCGGTACCTGGTCCTGGGAGCTGCCGTGGCATCTGTCACCCGCAGCAGTGAGCAGCTCAGCTTCGAGGCTTCCCTGGCCATCAGGCGTGGTGGAGAGGGAGGTAGGGATGTGGGAAGGCTGTGGCGGCGAGGGACGGGGGTGTCCGTGCCCTCTGTGTCCTGACTTGGGCATTTGGGATCCTCTCAAGCCTGTCTGTAACGAGGGGCTGTGAGGATGTGTGGGAGACCCCGGACCACCATCCTCATGGCTCTTCTCCCCACCAGGTACCCCCCTGTCCTCCACGGAGACCCAGCAGCTCCTTTTTGGCTCTGATGACAAGTGCTTCACCAGGATGACTCCCGTCCTGCTCCTGCTGGCCAAGTCACGGCAGGAGGAAGAGGTGGCTTTGGCTCCTTTTTCCTACCTCTCTGCCGAGGGGGTGGTGGACATGGCTCCGTACCCACAGCTCAGGTCCGTGGCCCTCGCTGCAACCATGGAAAAACACAGGGGCTGGGAGTCAGGGGAGGAGAGGGGCAGCCCCAGTCCTTCTGCTGCGGGACTGGGGTGGGAGGATGTGGGGCAGGGCCTGGTGGGACCCCTGGGGTACAAGGGGACCCCGTGACCCTCCCTCTGTTCTCCTTGCAGCCCACCCCAGGCCGGGACCGAGGAGCTGCCGTCCCCCACCGCCCCAAGCCAAGCCAACGCTTCATCATTGGCACCCCGTGGCAGCAGTCAGTTCCTGAGCATCCTGACCCGATTCATCCGCCAGGTCCTGAGCCCCTCCAGCGAGCCACCCACCCAGCCCAGCTCCCGCCACTGGCTGGACTTCCAAGTGATGGAGACCCTTCCTCACCAGCTGCTCAACCTGTCGGAGGAGGCAGCCCTGGAGCGTCTGGTGCAGTCAGAGGAGCCCTCGGTGCTGCTTTTCCCCCAGGATGGTGGAGCTGTGCTGGAGCAGCACTTGGGGGACTGGCAGCCAGAGGGAACTGTGCTGCAGCTGCTGATGGGCAAGCTGCAGACGGTCATCCAGGAGCTGAGGGACATCTCAGCTTTCCAAGCCAACATGGGGCTTTTCCAGCATCTCCTGAGCTTTTGCTACTACCCGCTGGGGCCGGCTGAGGGTCAAGGCGGCGAGCAGCCGGCCGGCTCCAGGAAGCTGCACACGCTGCTGCTGCTGAAGGTGTTGCAGACGGTGCGGGCGCATTGGCAGGAGCGGAGGAAGGTGCTGCGGCAGAACCGCAGCGCGCGGCACCAAGCCCACTGCCGCCTGCAGGAGCTGACCATCGACCTGCACGACCGCAAGTTCATCGTCATGCCCACCGTCTACGCGGCCAACAATTGTGAGGGTCCCTGCAAGCTGCCCCTCTCCACCCGCGTCCCCAGCTACTACTCGCACACGGTGCTGCTGCTGGGCATGCAGGAGCGGGGCTCGCCCCTCCAGCGGGCTCCCTGCTGTGTGCCCGTCCGCTACTCGGACCAGCTCATCATCAGCCTCTCCACGGAGGGGCTGGAGGTCCGCAAGTTCCCCAACATGGTGGCAGAGGAGTGTGGCTGTCGGTAGAGGTGCCTGCCCGTCTCCCTGCTCGCCCTGATCCTGTTCCCCCCACCCAGGTTTGCCCTCGCAGCTCCGGAGCTGGTGCTTCTTGCTGAGACAGGAGCTCCCCGCATGTTCTTTCCCCACCGTTTGGCTCACTAGTGTTGCTCTGGTTCTGGGTTTGTCTGTAGCCGTGCTGGTCCTTGGGGGCTGCTCTGCAGCCCCACGTTACCCTGCACTGGCTGCTGATGCCGGGGATGCCCAAGGTGCCCGCAGGGCCATCACGGGAGGGCAAGGCTTGGTGGATCCAGCCAGGACCACACTTATTTATCCCTTGCCTTCTGTTCTTGTAGTGGCTGGGCAGGTCAGTTGTTGCTTCCTCCAAGCCCCCCCACCCGCAGCATCCTCTGGCCATTTCCCAGCCCACGGCCCATCACTAAGCCCCCGCCAGCCACGTGGCTCCACCTGCGAAGGCAGAACAAGAGGCAAATCCCCTTGCAGGGACCAGCCTTTATCTGGGGACCTGTCCCCATGTGAGCCAGGGGCCATGGCAAGCTGCTGGCAGTGGCTTGGGGCTCCCTGCTGGGTCATGGCTGCATCGCCCCGCGCTGACCCCACTCCTGGGATGCTGCCAGAGCTGGGGGGGCGAGGGGAGGGAGGGAGGGAGGGCTAAGATTGGGGAGCGATCCCGTTACACCTCCTGGGCTGCTCACACCATTAATAGGAGCGGGTGCAAACGGCTGCCAAAGCACCTGCTCTGTGTCCCCGACAGTATCAGCATGGAGAGCCCGGCTGTCCCCAGATCATCTTCCCAGCTAAGCCCAACCCTCAGTGAGACCCGCCGGGGCTGCTGCAGGGTCCAAATCCCCGGAAAGCAGCTCCTGGGCTTGTCCTGGCTGCAGCCTCACTGGTGCTGGGACCAGCCCTCGGGCTTTGCAGCGTTGCCACGGGGCTGGCGGGGGCATGGCCAGAGGCTGGCACACACTGGCCCTGTCCCACAGCCCACGTGGGAACCCGGGTTAGCCCTGAGCCCCGTACATCAGGGATGGGGGGGGGGCCCACAAAAACCACACAAACATAACCAGGGCCAGGCCCTTTTGGCTTTTTTTTTTTTAAAACATTCGATTTAATACCTTATTAAAAATGAAAATAGTTTATTTTAACCTCTATTGATTTAGCAAATACTTAAACCTGCCGTGGGTTGGGGCTGTGAACGTCTCCTGTAGTTGCTACAGCGCTGCGTGATATTGCACTTGTGTTTTCATTCCTAAAAGCGACTCTGTGAAGGCAAAGCCCGAAGGGATCCCCGGGTGATGGGCTCTCCAGCCCTGGTTTGTTACCAGCAAGCTTCGTGCCACTCTGCAGCAATGGCACTGGGGCCCGGCAAGGTCGGGGTGGTCGTTCCCCTGATGTCCCCCTGAGGATGGCTGCAGCCTGGCTTTGTTAACCCCAAATACACTCCTCTCTTGTTTTGCTTTGAATAAAACCATTAACTGAATTAAAGAGCTACAGAGTCTGGAGACAAATTCTGTTCACTGGGATCCCTGTGCCCACTGCGCCGCCCTGATGTTTCAGGGACCACGGGTGAAAATGAACTGCAAGAGAGATTTCGGGTGGGGATGGAGAAATAGCGTGAAGCCCAGAAGAAGAGAAGATCCTTCCCCTGGTCCTTTCAGGTTGCCTTTGTGCATCTAATCCAGGGGGGGCCCAAAGTCCCCAGGGAGGCTTGTGCCAGGCTCCCGGGCTGCTCTGCCGCTGCTCGGAGATCCTGGAGCGCTGCCTGTGCTGCCCACGCCGCCGGCCCGGGGATGTCTCCGGAGAGCGGGCAGGGAGCGGCAGGGTGCCCTTGCCAGGGGCGGTGGCAGGGTTGGGCCCCCCCCGGATTCAGCATCATCGAGCCCCTCTGTTGCCCCAGCCTCAGTCGCGCCTCTTGCCCTCCTTGGGCCTGGCGATGCCGTCCTTTCCCGGGGCGGCTGCCGTCTCCCAGGGCTTCCTGCCCTTCTGCTGCCGCCAGTCCCTCTTCGGGCTCTCCCCGCCACCATCGGCCCTGCTGGCACGGCCCTTCCACCCCTCCTTCCTGGGCTCATCCCGCTCCCGCCGGCTCTCCTTCCACTCCCGGCCCCGCTTCTTTTGGGGTTGCTGCTCCAGTTCCCGGGGGGCCCGGGGGGCTCTGCCGGACTTCTCTCCCTGTGCCCTGTCCTTGGCTCGTGTCTCCCTCCGGCTGCTCCGCTCTGCCTGGGCAGCACGCCCCTCCCGGACCTTCTCCTCCTTCTTCTCCTCCTTCTTCTCCTCCTTCTTCTCTTCCTTCTTCTCCTCCTTCTTCTCCAGCTTCTTCTCCCAGCTCTTCTTCACCACCGTCACAGCTGGCGGCACCTCAGGGACATCCATGGGCTCTTCGTCCCCATCCTCCGGTGCTGAGCGGCCAAACCACTTCTTGAAGATCCAGGGCTCTGCCTGTGGGGGGGGGATGGAGGGTACCAGGCGCCTGTGATGCAGCCCAAGGGACGGGGACCCCTCTCCATCCCTCCCCCCAGGGATGAGATGCCCTCCCCCCCCCCAGGAGGTGCCCCGAGGATGCTCTTTCTCCCCCCACCCTGGATCCATACCAGGTTGCTGTCAGCATCACCATCATCATCACCGTCTTCGTCGCCATCGTCGTCACCATCATCGTCCTTGAACATGCTGCTCTCTGGCTGGGGAGGCTGGGCAGTCACCACTTCTTGGACCTCCTCCTCCTTGGTGCTGACCACCTCTGGGAGGGGAGAGGGACAGGCCACCGTCAGGAGGGGATAAGGCTGTTGGCGTGTGATGTCCCAGACGTGGGGTCCCAGGGCCACCCCAACCTGGGACATGGCTCCGTCTCAGGCTGGATTGAGGGGATTGGGGCAGCCCGGAGCATCTGAACCCACCATGAAGGGGAGGCGGTGGAGGGTCCTCCCTGCCGCGGCTGACTCCCTCCCTGGAGCACGGCGCTGGAAGAGAGGAGGGGAGAGGAGGCAGGAGGTGGTGGCAGGTCTGGCCACCCTGTCCCCCTCCGTCCGGCTCCCAGCTCACCTTGGAGCACCTGGAAGGTGACGCTAAGCAGGGCGACGACGGAGGCCACCAGGATGCACTTGTTGAGAGTGAGCCCTTCCCAGAGGAGCGGCTCCTCTGCGGGGTCCGGGCTGGGGGGCTCCACCTTCCTCTGTACGGGGAGGCTCTTGGGGACTGGGGACCCCCAAGGAAAACAGCGTTACTGGGGGAGCTGGGAAGCGGCAAAGGGCTCTTAATGTCCTTCTGCACAGCCCATTCCAGGCAGGGACAGGGGCAGGGGCAGGGGCAGGAGCTGCCTGCCCTGCTGCCGCCAGCAGAAGACGGTGTTTGCATTGCAGGGGTGGGGAAAAGAGTGTCATGGGGGCTGCGTCCGAGCTGTTTGGGCCACAATGGCATTACAGCATCCTGGGGAAAACCTCTGCCCATGCTCCCAACCCTGCTGCTCCATCCCCAGCAGCAGATCTGGGCTGGGATGAGGAGGAGGAGTGGGATTTGGGAGGTGGATGAGAAGCCCCATCTCCATGTTGCTGAGCTCCCAGGGGACTGTGGAGAGCAGAGCTTGTCCCATCACGGGTGTCTCCCGGGCTGGCCAGGGATGCAGGACAGGGTCTATGCCTCTGTGGCCACCTGGGGCCAGGCTGCCCATTTTGGGGCAGGGAAGGGCTTTCCTGCACACCTACCTGGAGGCCCGGCAGCACTGCCTTTGGCTCCCACCTTCTCCACCCGCTTCTTCTCCACCGCTTTCTTGTCCACGCCGAGTGGCGCTGGCTCTGGCATGCTCAGCTCAGACTTGTCCAGATCCTGCTCAGAGACGCCAAGCTGGGTCCTTGCCTCTTCTAGCCCCTGCGGGGAGGGCCACGAGCGTGGCTGGGGGTGTAAGAGCATCGCATGGCCCCATGGGGAAATTGAGCAGCGTGGCTGGGTGGGATGGGGGGCATGGGGCACGTCTGTGCCCCCTCCCAGAAGAAGGGGTGCTCAGCGCAGCCATGGAGGGACCCGATCCCTGCGCTCCGCAGCCTGTGGTCACGGTCCTGGGGTCCCCCTGGGGCTGAGCCAATGTTGCCACCGGCCCCAAGCGGCACTAACCAGGCTCGTCACCAGCTCCTCGAGCATCTAACTGCAGTGCATGTATTTGCATCAGCAGCCTTAAAACACGCTGGATTTTTTTTTTTATTTTTTTTTTTGGTTTGCTAAGATGGATTTAGCCACTAGCTGGCTCCGTGCGGCAGAGCAGGCGCTGGGGTGTGGCCCAAGCACGTATGGGTGGGCTGGTGGCTGCTGACCCCTGAGCTGGGCTTGAGCCAGCCCACCCCAGAGTAGCCCTCGGGGCTGGATTCGCCATGGTCACACATATCCACTGAGGGCAGCAGGTCAGATCCAGGGGTCAGCGTGGCTGGAGGAGAGGGAGCACACCACGCGTTGGGGTCTGGGCTTGGTGCTGCTGGGGACGGGAGGTTTGGTGGACGGGCTGGCTTGTGTCAGCGGCACCGGATCAGTGCCGCGATGGAGAGCTGCCCACCGGCACGGATCAGTGACAGTGACAGCTGAAGGACACGGCCCTCGGCTCCCCTGGGATGGATGTGCTGCAACACCCTGCAGAACCCTCCTGGGCTGAATACCGCTGCAGGACAGCCCCCTGCTCAGCCCCCTGCCCCAGTGCAGGGAGCACCCCCGGCAGCCCCCTCCGGTCCCGGGACACTGCACACTTACATGGGCTCTACAGCTCTCCCCGTCGCCGCTCACCGGTGCATCGGCATCTGTTAAAGACAGGCACAGGGCAGTTCATCAGGCGGCGAATTCGGGGAGGTGGGAATCGCCAGGGGCTGGGGGTGCGTGGTCTTCCCACTGCCACCCGCCAGCCCGCAGAGTGGGGACATCACGGCCACATCCCCCCCCCGTTAGAGCAGCCGGGTCACCCGTGGAGAGAGGTTTCAGAAGACAGGCAAAAAAAACCCCTGGCCATCGTGGCAGCAGTTGGCAAGGTTGGGGTGTAAAAGCAGCAGCGTGAAGGTCAGGGGCTGCTGAACCCCAAAATGTCACCATCCTGGATATCCCCAGGGAGCTGCAGTCGAGGGGGACGGTGACCTCCCTGCCAAGGCATATGGAGGGGACGAACAGCCCAGGGTGCACACAGACACCCTGAAAACACATGGCTGGAGGCAGCTCAGGATCTAGCCTAGAGAGCAGGACAAGCTCCAGGTACCATGGAGCAACCAGACCACAAAGAAGACCTCAAACCACCCAAGAGAACCACGAAGCTCAGGGATGACTCTCAGGTCTTTTCCCAGATGTGAAATGGGAGAGAAAACTGGAGGGTCCCCAGGGCTCTGCAGCAGTTCGACGCACTGAAGGGCTGGGGAGTGTGCCAGGCTCCTCGGGGGTTTCTCTGCCCCTGGGTCTGGGGTGAGCTATGATGGGGTGAGGATGCACCAACAAGGTCCCAACACCATGCAGCCTCAGCCTTCTCGGCACCTCCGAGCGCAGCTCTCACTCACGGGGATCTCGATGCCGCATCCTTGCAAGCCCTCACCAGAAGGAGGAATTTTTGCCCCCTTTGAGCCAGATTTAGTTTATTTTCCCCCAGCGGAAGAATGAATGCTGAGAAAAAAATACCAGTTCCCAGGACAAACTCTAAGACGTGATACTGGAAATAAATAAGAGGAAACCTTTTGGCTGGGAACCATGGCCTGAAAGGTCTCTGCTTTCAAGAGGAAATAAAAAAAAGTCCTCAGTTTTGTTACAGTGATGGTGAGTCTGGTCCTTTCTCTGCTGGGAAGTGAAGGCGCTCCCCCAGGATTCTTATGTTGGCTAAGGGGGTTGCCAGCCCCAAGGAAAGCACAAAGATGGAGAATTTTTCCTTAAAGAGTTTTTCCCCCAAGTGCTTGACATGTTTTTGACCTACACAGCTATTCACACTTTCTTTGAGCAAAGATGGGTGCGAGGAAGATGGAGGAGGGCACAAGCCTCTGTTCCTCTTCACCCTGGCCACAGCCGACATCCCCGCGGGGTCGGTGCCGCGTGGGTCCCACTCGATGCCTGAGGTCACACCATGATTTCATGGTGCCACCTCTGCCAGGCTGAGCCCTATCCTGCAGGACCTCGAGCATCACGGCAGCGATGCTGGCACAGCCACAGCCAGCACCTCCTGGCCACCGGCTCGTGGTGAGGACAAGGTACCTTTTCTCCCATCCTTCCTTGGCCGCCTCTGAGCACTTCCCACCCGCCTGGGCAGCTCATCGGTGGCCTTGGGGCATCCCAAGTTTTTCTCCAACACCTCACGGGGACCTGCTGCCATGTCACTTCGAGGGACTCTCACTAAACTGAGAGGGATAAAACAAATGCCGGGTGGTCAGCAGGCAGCAGCATCGGTGCTGGGCAGCAGTGCCCTGCAGCACACAGCTGGCCCACCACATCCTCGCTGTGGTCCCCAGTCCTTGGCTGAGCTCAGGTCCCTGTCATGGGGTGCCGGACTGTTCCCACGCCTCCGTCCCTTGAGTTTCTCCCAGACGGAGGAGCCCAAACTGCCTCCAGCCCCCGGGCACGTTTCCAGGTTTTGCCACGATGGCTGCTGGGCTCTGCGACAGCCACGCTGCGACCGGGCAGGCAGCCATCCTCCCCCCTGCACCAAGTGCCCCACAGGCGTTAACTCGGTCCCAGAGCTGACCGGCTCCGTGTATGGGTCTGTTCCCCTCCGGATGGGAGATGGGGATCCGTGCCCTGGCAGGAGGCAAATGCATTTCAGGGCTCTACAGCCCACACGAGACCCTCATCGCCAGCCAGGACGGGTCGTGTCACCTGCAGGAACAGGCTTCCTGGGGCCGGTTCCTATCGGACCAGCGCCGATGTAACGTGTACGCAGCCACTGCCCACGCCAAGCAGGGCAGGGATGGCCACCGATGCCGGGGATATTTTGCCCATGGCAGGGGTGATCACCCAGAGCGCAGCTCCTGCCCTTGGCTCACACTGACTCCTGCCCAGGAGACCTCCCGTACGACTGCTCGACCCATCCATCCCCTCCGCGGCGCTGCCTGTGTTCCCACTCCCTCGGACGCATGCTCCGCACGCCAGATCCTCTCTTAAATGCATAAAATTGCACTCTCAACGAATAATCAGCTCCGCTCTGCTGTCGCTGGGACTGTTCCTGCACAAGCTCCTAAGGTTGCTTCTACCGCTGACTCACATCAAAGAAACTTCCAAAAATAGTCCCCTCGCCTGCCCTGCTCTCCCTGTGCACGCTCGCATGGCAGCACCAGGACAGGCCCCGTGGCCCCCATCCACCGCCGGCCGGCAGCGTGCCGAGCGCTGCCTCGCGGGCTGCGCCCGTGGGGTGCCCCATGTGAAAAGGGGGGCTAACTGAAAGGGTTAAAAGCCACAGAAAGTCGTACCTGGGGCTCGACCACCGCCGCCTTGCCTCCAGCCCCCTGGCTGGCTCCGGCTCTCCGGGGTAATATACAGCAACAGCTGCCGAACCGTGCCGGAGCAAAATAGCACCCAATCACCGGGAGCCGGAGCACCCGCGCCTCAGCCCCAGAAAAGGCAGTTTAGCCCCAGGCATCGAAAGCAGGGGCTGCGGCTAGCAAGGCGGGTGCAGGGGCATGTGGTTCTCAAGGGCACCTGGGACATGGCTTGTCCCTCTGTGAGCCCCCCCCCCCCGCCATGGAGAGCAAGAAGAGGGGAGAAAGGACCGTTTGGTCCCCGACCTGGGGTCTCTGAGCCAGCTGTGGGATGGACACGGGTGCCGGGGATGCAGAGAGGCAGATCAGAAATCTGCCAGGCACGGTTAAGAAGGTGGTGGAGGGGAGAGGAGGAGCAATCCCCTGGGACCAGCAATGCTTAGACAACCCCAGTGAAAACCACTTTTTACCAGCGTTTAGGTCCTTTGCCCTCCGACTCCTCCGATTTCCCCACCGTAGCTGTTCCTGCAGCCAGGTCCCCAGGAGCCCTGCTGCGGCCACAGGCACCTCTTGGGGAGGCAGGGAGGGATGGGATCCTCACCGCAGCTTCCCGCTCACACGAGGCAGCGAGGAGATGAAGCATCTCTCATTTGGGGAGCTGAAAAGGACCATCAGGCTCTGGCCCTGCCTATGCCAGTTACCCAGAGCCCCCAGCTCAGCACAGGCAGGTACAGCCTCAGGCAGAAGCGCCTGGTGCAGGGGACGTGGTGCAGCCGTGACTGGTACCAACCCGGCACATCTTGGAGGCATCTTGCTTTGAGGACATCTCTCTTATGGAGAGCCACTTCTGAAAGGCTTCAGGTTTATAAAAAACCCTGAAACTGTAATGTTTCACGGCTGCAGTACTGACATTTTTCTTTAGCAGAGGTGTGAAAAGTCTTTAATTGCAAGATCTAAAGGAGGAATAAATTGGGCACTGGCATCCGGAGGGGACTTAGCCTTTTTCCAGGGCTCCGGACACCCGGTGAGCCTGGGTCATGGTCTTGCTTTAGGACCATGCAGCAAATGAACTCAGGAGCAGTCGTCTGCTTTCCAGGGCAGGGATTTCCCCTCTTTGGCAGAGACAGGACCGAGCATGCCGTGAACCCTGCTGCGGTATAAATAATGCGCCGCAGAAGCTGAACGCAGATGGAGAAAGGGATGGAGCTGTAAACACAGCCCCCCACACCATGCCAGGGTAGTTTTCTCAGTTTTATTCCCACTCCAGTAAGGTCAGGGCTGTTAACTGTTCGCTTTATAGGAACATAATGAAAGCAGAAAATCATAAACAGGCCAAATTAAAATCCCTTCTTCTCCCAGTTAATTGTTTTCTATGGTGCTTGCAGGTTCGTAAGCCTCCTCCTGCCTCCTGTGGGCGAGATGCTCCTCCCAGGAAAGAAGCTGGGGGTTTAATGGGCAACATCTGCATGCACACAGCTCAGGCAAAACGTCCTCCTGCTTTGTCCCTGCGTGGGGCCATGGGACAGAGAGCTCTCCTCACCCTTTCTGGGACCTTTCAACACCCTCCCCTGTAGCTGGGAGGGACCAGGAGCGTTTTTGCCTCCACACGTTTAGCTCTGAGCAGTACCCTGTCGAGCTGCAAAGCCTCCACCTCCATTGGACAATTTATCCCAGGCAGGTGGAGGAAAGAGATTCCCAGAGGCAAATTCTTTCCTAATCCCTCGAACACCCCCAAATCCTGGCTTCTCCCTTGCCCTGAGACTGATAACAGTGTCTCTGGGATGGGGTTAGCTCAGAGAGGGGGAAACACGATCTGGCTGTGAGACCAGGCAGAGAGAAAGCTGCCGGTGGAAGAGCTCGGGAGGGCCATCAAGCAACGTGATGGACGGCAGCCTGGCTGCACACGGGCTGCGCTCCATGTCCCGGCTAAATATTGACTCTCTGGCTTTGGCTTGATAACACAAATGTATCTTCTCTGACTTCCCAGGCTATCAGCTTGCCTCAGATTCATGTGGGTGCATGACTGTCTGCCGTGCACCGGCCGCCCCTGAGGCTCTGCTGTGGCTTCGTGGTTTGTGGTCCAGATGGACTGAGTTGTGCTGCAGCATCCCCTCGCTTCTATGGCAATGCTCATTTATCCTCCCACAAGGACAGAATCTTCTTTCTTCCCATCTTTAATAACTCGCAGTCAAAAGGCAATCATAAAGACATACAATTAGTCACTGATTATTTTCGGCACAGGTTAGTTCTGGGGACGAATTTTCCTTTTCTCCATGCAATTCCCCCTCTCCCCAGAGCCTCTACTGCTATGGCAGCCCCAGCCCGACTCCGTCTCCTCCTGACACTGGTACAAGGGGAGGCAG